CTTACACCCTTCCACTCCATGGTACTCTGTCTTTCAATAGCTGTTAATTTTGTAGCTATGGAGACATAATACAGGCAGTTTTTAAATTTTTTTTTGTTGCTATCCACAGAAAACTTTTTAATTAATGTGCTTTGGGAGTAGATATAATGAATGGAAAGATAGGACTTTCATGACCAAAGGGTAGCTGTCACTTCGATGAAGATCAGACAGGATCTGCCTTGTTTAGCATGCATAATTATGAGGAAAGTGTGGTTCATTATTTGTTCAGAATAATTTGTTTTTTAGTTTTTCTGCAAAATATTACACTATTTAACATACAGTCTGGCACAGCTCTTTTGAACATCTTTGTTCTATAGCAATCATTTTAGCCAAAGGCAAGGCTGACCATGTAATAAAATTAACTTCACACAAAGGATTAAGAATAAACAGCAGCCTTTGTGCCCATTCAGCTGTAGAACTGATTGGATTATTGCATGCTTGTAGCAGATGTAGCAATAGAAATGAGTAGCATTATGTAACTCCACAAACAACAGAGATGACATCTAATGAGTGGTGATGGATTGTGCTTGTGTATCTTGTATTTCACTTCCTTGTGTAACCTCGGATCACTCACTGGGGGCAGAAATACCACAAAAATAAAGGCTGTCCACAGCTTGCACTCACTGCAGTGTGTTTTTTTCTTTTAGGTATCATAGAAGACGCAAGAATCCTAATCCTCCCAAAGACCGATAACCAAGATAACTTCTTGTTCATCAGGACTTTGCTGTTAATTTTGATTGGAAATAAAAGTTACAGCAGGTGACGTGTGGCTGTAACATGCTTAACTTGATTTGACTGTTATTTTCTACTAAAAGCAGCAAAATGGCACTGACAAAACAGGGAGTCAGTGAAGGCAGTTGTGCATTCCTGGTCAGCAAATGGACTACTCTTAGATCAGGATGTAACAGGGATGGAGTGCTCTGATTAAATTCAAGAGGTCAGAGGCTTATCATTGGTCAAGTGAATTCATACAAATCTTCTGTCAAAATGGAAAGTCTAGAAGTGGATGTGTTAGGGTTTGGTGGTTTTGAATGGGATAGTATTTTTTTATTAATTTAGGAATCTAGTAAGGTGAGCTTGAATATTGAAGTATTAATTAAATAGTTTTTATTAAAAATATTATGTGAGGTGTTTGTGAAAACAAACTGGTTTTCTTCTTCTGTTACACCTGTGAGTTACCTGGCTCCATGTTTAATTCTACATCAGCTAAGTGATTGTAGTTAAGCCTGTTGTGTATGGAAAACTGGCCAACTTGGTTAATTTTTAGCATCCAAGTCACAGTAACTTGCTTTTCTAAATCATCCCCCATTCTCAGATATCTACAAACTTCTGTGTGCATTTGTGGTTCGTGGAGGTTTTTTGTTTGTTTAATCCCACCCGATCTACCACTCAGTGAGGACGCTGTGTTCCTACATAAGCTGGAGCAGCTGTATCACAGTAGGAGTTTGGTCTGATTCTACTTCATTGCTTTATCATTTTGTAGTGCTTAAATGTTCTTCCTCCTGTATATGTCATGTAGCTTTTTTTCCTTTCAGGAAAAGGGAAAAAACCTTTGTTCCAGTCTACAGTTTTAGGCATCAGCCCTCTAATAGAAAGGGCTAGCTTGGAACATTATGCTGCTGCAGAGGTACCAGTGACTTCATAAAGCCTTCTTAGTAGATCCTTCTAAATAATCAGAAAATTATTGTCTCATGTACATCATATATTTTTATTGCATTTCCCTTCCAAAGCAATTTGGATAACCTAGGAGGGGGTCTGTTTCCTCTGTTAGTCTAGTGTCATTTCACCAGCATGCATTTTCTACAGATTTTGCTAGAAGTTGAGTACCACTCATCTTCTCAGTTGAGATGTAGAGAAACTACATCTCAGCTGTTAGTTAGTTTCTAAAGATACTACTGAATAACCTTTTTTCCTTTGAACATCCTTTATTTGGGAAAAAAAAGCAATGTTGGATGTGTGTAAAAAGGCTGCCTTTAAATACTTGTGGGAATTTATACAGAAAACTAGTGCCAGTGCATTTTTAACTCCAAATGCTGGGTAGCTGATAATGGTTTATCATGGCAGAGCATGAAATCCTTTTGCTCCTTCACTCTGTTGTGCTTATAAGATATCAGAGTCTGTGCTCAAGCCAACATGAGCCAAGTGATTTTGGCTTCTTATTAATGGTGTGTTGCTCACATAATAAGTCTGCTATTGTGAAGTAATGTCTGTGGGGTCTCTGTGAAGGATGGCTGCTTAACTCTGTAAGTTCAATTGCATGAACATAATAGTGGCTTTTTCTGCCTGGAATATAACTTTTTTAATAGATTGTAGCAATTTGTAGTACAACAAATTTTGGTATTTTTATTAGTATGTGGTGCCTGGTGAGGACTCTGGTGAATAAGTAAGCTTACATCTTATGCAGTATTTTATGTTCCAGTGCAGAAAATTGAGTCCCTTTTATTTTTGGAAAGCTGAGACCTAATTTGTCACCGTTTGACTTCAGTGTAAGAAGATATATCCTTGGACTAATTTAAACTTAAAATTATTTTCCTCCATCCTTTTTCCCATATTTTTGCTTACTGCTGCCTAGTGCTGCTAAGAAATTTTGCTTTACAGAGAAACCTTTGCAGTCATAACCTTCTGTTTGTCAGTTCTTGCCTGTCAAACCCTGTTTGTGATCAAACATCCACAATCACCATAGAAATACTGGCTTTCACAATGTTTCCCAAACATTTTGGATGCTTTTCAGGCATTTTGAGAGCTAAAAATCTATGATGTGCTTGGCTGCTATCTTTAAAGTACTTCCTCTTCTGACCAGTGGCTGGAAACTGTCTAAAACACATGTTCAGTACATGTACCCTGTGCCCTTTTGTTACTAATCTGTAACATTGATGTTTTAAAATCTTTCCCTGCATTGTGATGCTGCTTTCAATCTTATTGTGTTTTCTTTTACTAAATCTTTTTCCTGAGTTACCTGAGGCATGACACAATTAAAATACTACTCTCACAGTAATCTGAAGCTCTCTTCTTGGTTTTCTAGGTCTCAAACAACTGGCTTTGTTTCTCTTCACTTGGAATTCAGAATTCATCCACTTGATTATTGTTCTACTTCTATGCAAAAAAAAAATTTGAAAGTTAGTTTGGGATTTCTGTTTTCTGTTGCCCTTGTTCTTTGTAATTGAAAACTTAAGTTGCATGAAATTTGCAATGTTAAGTCTGTTCTGGCACTTTGAATCCCAGTTTGGGCACTTAGCCATTTGTTTTGTATCTAGTAGCTGTTGAGTTCCAGAGCATCTTAGGCTGCTTGCTGTGGGTAGTAGGCAGCTGGGTACATCTTACTGAGGGAATTTTGGTGTTCATAAGTCTCACTTAAAGTCTCCTCAAGCCTTGCTTGGTCTGTATGCCATTAGAAAACTGTTTCAGTCATGTATCAAAAGTTTTGCCCTTAACTCACAGAATTGTTAGGTTTGGAAGGGACTTCTGGAGATCATATAGTCCAACATTTCTGCTAAGGCAAGGTCACCTGCAGCAGGTGACAGGAACACAGCCAGGTGCATTTGGAATGTCTGCAGAGGAGAAAACTCCACAACCTCCTTGGGCAGCCTGTTCTAGTGCTCCCGAGCAGGAATTCGGACCATTTAAATCACAGTTCAATTAATCTGAGTGCCTCAGCGAAAAGAAGTATTTCCTCTCCTCTAATTATCCCCAGATTAAAGCAGAGCTGATGCTTTGAAGAGGCTTTTTCCCTTCGGTGCGCGCCGCGGGAGCTGCCGTGCAGGCTGCGTGCGGCACCACCGGGAGGCAGCACCGCCCAGGGCAGAGAGGGACCGGGACCGGGACCGGGGTCGGGATCGGGATCGGGACCGGCTCTGCGGCAGCTTGAGCCCCGAGAGGCGGCCCTGGGCTGCTCCCTTCCTGACGCTCGGGAGCACTGCGGCAAAAAGCGCTCCTTAACACCTCCCAAAGGACTTGCACTTAAAGGATCAAAGGTTTTCTGCCGGTTTAACTTTTGTAGGGTGTCTCAGAGACAAAAAAAAGCTCCACCATCCCAGTCTGGGGAAAAAATGAGTCGATCGTGGGGCAGTAATAACAGCGCAAATTGGCAGCAGAGGGTTGTGCCAATGCCTTGTCCCTGCTGCTGTGTTCATCCCTGTCCCTGTACCTGTCCCTGTCCCTGCACTGTGGCAGCCCCAGGACAAGCAGGATCAGGAAGTGTAGCTGGTTTGCTGATCAGCCTGGCTGGAATGAGAGCAGCCAAGTGGCTTTGGCTCATCAGTTCCTAAACTGGTTTCCCCACCAGACAGACAGACAGACGCTGGGACTGGCACACAGGAGACAGGAGGAATGTGCTTCTGGGCATGTGACAAATGTCATGACTTTGTTTCACTTCCCCAAGATTGCAGTGAAGGCAGCAGTTACCCTCCTGCCCATCTGCCCACCCATCCTGCCATCCCTCCCCTGCATCCAGCTATGAAGTTCTATAGGAAACTTCTCTCTTGCTGCTGTTATAATAGGTCTGAACTTCATCTGTCATGTCCAAATTCTGCTGTGCCACAATAAATCCTTGTGGCAGGTCATTATAAGTCACAGTACCGACTGCCTGTCAAAGCCAGCGCTGCATTTCTCAGTTTCTCCAGTCTATGAATTTTAGCAGCATGTAATTTCTCACATGCTCATTCCATCCTCAAAGCCAATACAACGTTATAAAATGGAGAGATAAAATAGATGTAGGCTGCATTCCTCATCTGTAATAGATGATGTATATTTTGTTTTAATGCTACAATGTAACAAAATTGACCTAGAGCAAACACACTAGTCACCAGTATAAAGGAACAAATTGTGTACCTACAATACATAAAATTTGGGGTTATCTCCAAGATTGAGACAGATACTAATTAGATGTCTAAACCTGAGTCAATCTTCAAAGGCTCCCCTTATGGTCAGTCAGCACAGAAAAAGTACATGCAACAGTCAGGTGATCTTATTTTAACATTTTATTGGCTAGAATATGTCACACAATTGTCCTCTGAAGATGCATTTTCCTTTTCTGTGAAGGGAGGATGAAGATGATATTTTTTTATCTATATTGGGGCCTTTCTCTTTTTTTTCAATGTAGGAGCACAACTGTGCAAAATACTCTTAAAATTCAGATAAAACCATTTTTGATGTTTCTGTTAGCTTCAGTAGTATGTAGTCTGTATATAGGAGCTCTTAGTTTTCTATATAGAGTAATTCACACACATTTAATTTCTAAATGTACACTGTGTAAGAAATTTTAATTCTCACTTTGTAATTAATCAACCCTGTAATGCTAAAAATAATAAGCTGTTTGGAGAAATAACATAATTACTTATTTATATATCTTTCTGGTACCTCTTATGAAATGAGCGTGTTATTTCAACTGTTATCTTTTGGTGCTTCTACAAAAGCAAGCATGATGAATTATGATTTACTGGGCAATTTGCACGGAATTACCTGAAACTTTAAATACAATTCATTCAGAATGTTAGTTCCACTGTGAATAACTACAGCTGTTGGAACACTGCAGATCAGACGGTGGGAGGTATGTGGAAGCTGCATGAACTAATCAGCATGTTTGGTCAGCAATTTTGCATCTCCTGGCTTCTGGGGGAGTAGAAGCTTATGGGCTGGCATGCCACTTTATTAAAGGTCATGATGTAGGTGTATGTATCATACAGTTTTTCGTTGTATGGAGACAACACAAGATGTTGGCACAGCCAGTAGAACTAAGAAGCTTTGCCAACTGGTCTTTATCAAACATAAATACAGAAAAAGGTTGTGCTTATATTCAGCTTTACTGCTTGTCAAGATGAAAAACAGTGTCAGGTCAGAGGCAGTTTACCTCTTAAATAAGACCAGTTTTGACTGCTACCAAAGTTTGATTACTCAGCAAAAGGATCCCCCTACCAGGAAAATGTCAGATGATTTAAAAAATTCTGCAAGAACTGGTTTTTAGCATCTCTTCTGCTAAAACTAATAAAATGTTGACCATGAAAGTTACAGAGAAAAATTCAAAGAATGGTGAAAAGTAATTGCACTGAGCCATTACCATGTTGAATAAAAATTAACCTAAGTAAAAGATTAAACTATTGAAGCATGACCCTCCTGTATAAACATGTATTTCCTACTCACTAATGGTAACAAAACAGAGCTTAATAGTTTCATCCAAAGATTAGTGTTTCTTAAACAATCCTAGTCATTAGCACCAAGTTTTTTAAACACTGCTGAGGTTTCTTGTCTTAAACACTGCTAGTTTCTCATTCAAATGTGATTTGTTTAAACAAATAATATGCTAAGTACTGTTTTTCTGAAGCCAGCATCTGTAGGAATTACACTGCATCAGAGCTGTGCTGCAGGAGTGGTCTTCATTTGCTTTAGTTAAGACAAAGTAATGATTTTTACTGAATAATAAACAAATGCTAGGAAAAAAATTTCCTGGACCCTTAATTATTTGGTTGTTATAAGTAACAATATTTGTTTGGTTGTTATAAGTGACATAAGGCTTCATATACTTTTAAAAATTTATTATGTAATTTTTAATACTGACTGGCTTCAGTATAGGTTCATTTGTTATTTTCCAAGAACATGTGTTAACAGAATTCCCTTTCCCCCATGCCATTTTTCCTACAGGTAAAACCCTGGCATTAGTGATGGAGTAACAAAGTGGTGGCGAGTTCCACAAAATTTAGAACTAGATTAAGAAAAAAGGATTTCCTATCCAGAGTAGAAGCACAGAGCAAATAAAATTCATGGAAAATTCCTCATAAGGAGAGGTCAGAAAAATGACAGAGAAATTGCCTTTCTAAAGCATATATTTGTATTTTAATACTGAAAGAAACACGCTCTAGTTTTGACTGCATGGGGTTACAATTGACTGGCTTTATATGGCCATATTTGTTTGAGAAAGATTTGAAGTAAGACTGGTAAGGCTGAAAGGTGCCACCATGGGCTGTGAAGAGAAGAGCAGCAGTGGTTAGTACCTGCACAGTGCCTAGCAGGCCTTGTCCAGTCCAGGGACAAAAGCTTGAATTGTTAGAACTGGGTGAGTTCTGTTTCAATACAACCAAGATTCTAACTCACGACTTTGTGGAAATGATGCAGGAAAAGCCGTGTGTTTCTTTAGCAGTGCTGCATTTATTCTGCAGTGAAAGTACCTGTGTGACTCTGGCAGGTGAAACCAGGGCCCTGGGCTTCCCCACACCGAGGTGGCGCCAGCAGCAGACACACCCTCAGGATCCCTCTGGGCACGTTGTTATGGGGCAGTCGGGGAGCAAAGCTCAGGCCCTGCTGCTGCTGCCACAGCTCCAGAAGCCCTCCTGAAAGCCATGGCTTCCCACTGCTGCAGGCACAGCACTCCCAAGGTCTCATCCTGCCTGACTTCACACGGTGTGCTCTTCTAAACCACCCGGGCTGGCTGTGCCCTCAAAGCTTACCGCATGCCAGGAGGTGCAGTGCGTACCCTCCCTCTGGGGCCAGGGGAGCACCCTTCTCACAGGCTGAGGGACAGTTTCACACCATTGCACAAACTGAAAGGCAACAGAAAAATCACAACTGCATGGTGGCTCTAGAGCAGCACCAGAAGGAGTCCAAGGAGCACTGTGGGATGTGAATACAGGAGTCTGCTCTAGAGGGAACTAGCACAGCTAGTGTGAATATAAGCCATCTATATTCCTCTTGCCTCCCTCTTGACATCAGGGATGTTTTTTTTAAATGTAGAAGGACAAGCTTGCTCTCTGAAATCAGGTAGTGTGAACCCACAGCATTTTTAGAGATTACCTTATCTTAAATTACCATTGTTCAGAGTACCAAGTCTGAATAAGTCTGGCACGGGCTTATACACACAGCAATTCACACATGTAATTACTATTTTCTAAACAGTTTCAGTCACCAGTCCAGAGTCTCCCATTCAGAGATGCCCCAGTTGAGGCTCCTGTAAAAAGAAAAGGATTTTTCTTCTGAATAAACAATTATGCAGAGAAGAAGAAAGTGCATTTCTGTAACACCAAACAAAATCTGCATTTAGAAGTAAGCATCTTCTTACACATTCAACCTTGGAGTAAATGAACCACACCAAAGGTCACTAAATGTCATTGTTCTGTAATTTTCAGTCTTCAGAGGATCAAAGAAATCTGAAGAGTCAAGGTGAGACACATGGCAAAATAATGAGGTGAAAGTCTTCCAAAGTTTTCTGGAGGGAAAAAACCCACAGTAATTGGATGTAATTCTTAAAATGCTCATTTAGGCATTAATAAATACAAATGTGTATCCTCTTTAGGGTTCATGAAATGTCAACAAAAGAAAATAGTATAAAAATCAAAAAGCTGTTTTTCAGTTATTCACTGGGCATAAGGGGTTTGTTTATTCCAAGATCTGTGACACTGGCAAATGAGCTGTTCCCTTTAAATACCTTGCCAGGTGTTGTTTTTGTTTGGTTTTTTTCCCTGTTCAGCTTGTATAATAAATTAATTTTTCTAGAAATACACTACCATTTCAGCATAGATTTTTTTAACCATTAATCTTCTTACCTAGCATATTTTGCCCTGTTAGAGCAGCCCAAGGAAGTGATCTTAAAATGCCCAAGGAGATTAAAAGATACACTTCAGTCAGTTGCTGAAGAGTAACTCAGAAGCATAACTGATCAGTCATTTGAAGAATTTCATTGTTGTTGCTGTGCCTTTTTGATCAGCCAGTCCAAAGGGATTTCATTAACATCTCGCTAAAATGTTTCTTCTGACTAAGAAGAAATTTTGAATAGATTATGAAAGCCTCTAGAAATAAGCTATTTTAAAGTGCTAAGCATATAAATGCAAATTGAATAGAAACAGCTGTTATTTACATTCTGTGGACACATGATTTCACTCCCTGATGGATAGGAGAAGAAGAAAAGCCACTAAAAAAATGAAATGCCCTTAAAGAAATTGGGAAAATGGGGATCTAATAAAAACACATGCAATGAACCACATTGTTGGGTGGTATGAATTGGTAAAGCTTTCCAGGTTTGCCACCATAACACTACATAGCCCGCCTGCCAGGAGGTCTTGAAGAGCTCTATGTATTTCTTGGAGAAAGTGGAGGTATGGGTTGAAGGAAGGAATATGCTGTAACAAAGCCATATGAACAAATTCCTGTTTCAGCCTGTTATGCAAGGGCTAGCTGATAACCTGGCATTTTCAAAAAGAGTCTCTCAGAAACAAAGCCCCCATTCACAATAAGATTTTGCTACGGGCTTATGTTAGTTTGAGATTATGTTCTGAAAAAATTATAAAAGCTCCTGAAAAATGTAAGCAGCATATTCTTGACCAGTGTGCCTGAAAGTAGAGGACTGTGCTGGAGGGAAAAGAAAGCACAGTGTGAAATTTGCACCCTTCATGAACTCAGGCTTTTTACTGGCCTGGAAGAGGCTCTCCTGTGTGTCCTCCATTTACCTGGAACAGGTCCCTGCTGTCACAGGTTCCACTGGAAAGCTCATGCTCCCTCCTGCCGGGCCTGCTTTTATTTGTAACATCACCAGCAAACACCTAGAGCAGAAAGAAAGAATACTGTCCTCAGGAAAGGTAAGGCTTGTTTAAAAATGTACACAAAATATGGCTGCTAATTTGGCCCATACCCACTCATTTCAAATTTCAGCCTGGGACAGGGAGTTAAAGGTGGGATTGTTTTGCTGGCTTTTCCTTGTAGAAGGAAAAGGAGCTGACATACTAACACAGCTAAAGCCCAAGCACCGCAAAGGCACTTCATTCTTAAGAGCCTGGGGAGTGATCTTCTCCAAGATTAGTCCTGTTTGACTTAGGATTGCTTTGTGCCTGCCAGCACACAAAAGCTCTCATAACACAGGCAAAGGTAGGACAGAAATTTCATTCTTGTTCCATTTTAGGTACACTCTTACCTGCTGTTCTGTGTTATGCCAAAGATATGTCCAATGGCTAAATGCATCCTTTCCTTCCTCCCCAGAACAAAGGCTGATCTACAGCAGCAGGTTGTGCAGCTTCCTTCTGTCTGGCATCATGTGGCATGAAACGCTGGGGAAAAATTTTGCTGTGCCTCAGGCATCTTTCCAGATCACGTTTATTCACAGAGGGATAATTTATCAGAGAAATGAGCTCTGAAGAGACTACTAAAATTAGTGTTAAATTTTGAAATGTAGGGCAATGGCACTGAAAGTCAGAAAATATGTCTAGCCCAAACTCACACTTTATAAAATGCTTTGCATATTTTGTAATAATTATGGGTATTATTTCCCCTTCTCCGTTCATTTATAAGGACAGAGAGAATAACAAGCAAATCTGAATTTGGTTACACAGAGCCATCTGTTAATTCTGGTATATGGCAGTAGAGGGCATCTAAGGACTTCGAGTCATATATGGTAAGGGATTAAAATCAGATGGCTGAAGGAGTTATTACTCTCCCCCCAAGCCGTTCACCCCACCTCAGGACAGAATTGCCATCTCAAGACCAAACAGCTCACGAGGCTGCTCCTGATGGATGGCAGTTTTGAAGCCACACTGAAACTGGAATTGTTCTTAAAACACCAGTCTGAAAGCTGAAGTTGTTAAGGAGGAGATGCATGAGTTAATTTCTCTTCCCGGCTGCAGGCAGAGCTCTGTCAGAGCCACAGGATGGTTTTGGGTACAGTACAGGGGGAGATACTGCTTCAAGCAGCCTGTCCAATTTTATCTACTACTGTTTGAGCTTTAATTTCCACATACCTGGAAAAACTGCTTACAGGGGGAGCAAGCAATTCTGGGAATGGACAGGCTGTGCCAAGAAAAGGCAAGCTGTGGACCAGTGCTCTTTCCTAAACCAGAAAGAGTAGCCCTATGTCTGTTTCCTCTCCTGAGCCTTAAAACTGACAGCCTGCCTGGCCAGCATTTCATCAGGCTGCGTCCTCCCAGTGTGCCAGTCAGATACAGGACGAGGCGTGGAGCCGTCCTGACAAAAAGCAAGCACTAATCCTGACAAACAGAGAGAAGGTAGTTGGCGGCCAGCACTGTTTTCTTGTCATCTCTCCAGGTTTGTATGACGTTCCACATGCAGCCTCTACACTGAAGCAGGGAAAGCAGCCATACCTATCTTGAGCCAAAAGAAGCCAACACGTCAGAGGCAGGTTAAGTTCATTACCTGACACTAACAATTAATGCACTGATCTGAAAAATGTATTTGAACCCAGCAGCATATTCACATACAACAGGCAACCTATTTTCAATTAACTGGAAGAAGTTTAAGGTTATATAAATACATTAGTAAACGTTGATTATCCTGTTATTCAAACTCCTAAGTACAGCAACACGTCAGGCCTTATGCTGAAGTCTATTATAGCCTTAGCCTGAAATTTAGAAGTGGCTCATGCCCAAAAAAAGGTTCTACAACTCATTTAATGATTCACAGTACTCCTAAAATGATATTCATCTGTCTGCTCTCCATGGCAGCACTTTCAATCATAAACACTTAATTGTAGGAATTCATCCTCAAGGCCAAATAGCTCTGGGTGAATTAAACTATCCTTAATATAAGAACTAGAACAGTGACTTAAAATTAATCTTTTTCTGATGGGAGGCCATTTATTCAGAGACACATAACCCAGTTTCTACTTCACTTTTCACTCAAAAATCTCCCTTTTAGAGATAGGCACTGCATCACCTGTTTTAGTTTTCCTTATTAGTTTCAAAATTGACTTTCTGCCAACAAAGGAACTTTATTACTTATGGATTGGCAAAGCATAGGAGAGCTGCTTTCATGCTGTCTGTCAGGAAAACTTTTTTCACAGACATTACTTGCTCTCTTTTACTTTGAGGCGTAGGACTTGCAACTGGCAGAAAAACATCTCAAGCCTCCTCAAGCATAAAAGGCTTGTTTTTTCTGGCAGCATCTAGGACAAGAATGCAAGATTTCACAGTGCTTTCAGCTGTGCTATCTCTAGGATTTTGCTAAAAAAAACCCCAAAACCCAAGAGTGTATGTTTCTCTAAAAATCCAAAACTTCAAGGAGCATGGTTCTGAACATGTGTGTGCATAGGTGTAGTGCACGTATATACCTATATGCTCTTTCTCAGACAAAAAAACAAGGTAAATAAATATTACAGTCACAGCATTTTATGCTATAATCTGAATATTAAAATCCATATCAAATATTCTCCTTGTAGTTGTTTGAAGACTGTACCAAAATTGGTCCTTTCCTTTTTTCTACCTTGTTCGTGAGAAGGAAGCATGAATGAGAAGAAAATGCTACCAAAGCATGTATATTAACAACTTATTCTCCAATAACTTTCACCAATTTGGCTACTTTTAGTCAGAGTGAAACTTGATAATTCACAAAATAACACAGTGATAGACCAGAATTCTGCTGTTTATAAGGAAGCTTAGCATAGCATAAAGTAAAAACTGCTGTGTAAATTCTCCTTGTTTTTTTGTACTTAGTACCCTGTGTCACCACATTCTACTTTTCCTTTACATGCCTATTGAAAGTATTTTTATGTTAATTTGGTTTTACCTTAAATTGTAAATAGTAAATTGGAGAAACTAAGCAAGCACTACATTTAATTTTTTTCACTGAAGTTCCCAAGTGGATAGGTAACCTTTTACTCAATGCAGGTTAGGCCTTTACTTATAGACAGTAGATAGCACAGGATGAGAGATGGACTTAAATGCCACCTTTTTATGGTCAGTTTTGTGCTTGACAGTGATTATCTGTCTACCTATCCACTGAACCAAAGGGAATGATCCTTCTTTTTATCAACTGTCTCTGAAAGAAAAGAATCCAGATGTTATTTCAAAGTATTACTCCCTTGATGCCATCTTTTGATGTTTGCTTTTAAATCACAAGTGCTGCTTTCCTTTTAGAGCACCCCTGATTTATAGAAATTATTCCCTGAATTATTTTATTAATCTCCTTTACCAAATGTATAATAAGAAAAGCAAAGCATTCACATGTGAATAGATAAAAATAGCAGGAAATAAGGTGGCAGCTGGTAAAGAGTAAAACTGTTTGGTATAAATCTTAATCTATTTCATCAAAACATGCTGTACCTCAGGCAGTTGGAAAGGTCAGGATGATCCCATACACTGAAATATTTGTTTTCCTTATGTTTTATTTATTATGTTTTAGGAACTCTTTGTGAAATAAGCAAACCTTTCTCCTAACTGCTAAGTGAGAAATCCTCAAAGAGTTCACATTGCAGACCTTTCTCGTGCTGTGGTGTTACAATTAACACATTCCAATCTGCTGGAGCCAAAGGCTCAATATTCCCATTTCTCTGCTCAAGAACCAGACTGCAACCCCAGGACAGGGAAACCATGGCAGCTGTACATTGTTGTTTAGACTAGTTCAGGTAAACAGTTGTCAAAATACGTTCAGTAAGTAGAGCGAAGTGATAAGCAATAGCTGTCCTTTTAACTGAAGGGGATTTTAACTGACCAAATGGTATGCATGGATAACAGATATTCTGTGCTACATCTTTGGGAAGTTAAGCATGCAGAGAGCAGGGAAAGGCCCCTTGTATTCTTCCAGGTAGCTAGGTAAATCTATCTTAATAGATCAGTAAATGTTTTCAGTGAATCAGAGCAAATTTAGCAAAATCAGCTGAGTCAAAATCACATTACCCCCCTCTGCTCACATCATATTATATAAATAAATCAGTGTACGAGCTCACCAGTAAACTTGGCATGCTTTTCAGGAACAAAGTGAAAATCATTTCTAGTAACAGGCACTTCTCAGCGCTGTAAAAATGTTGTTGCCTCCTTCCTTGGTCATGAAAGGGATTTTTGCCTAAAGGAAAAATAAAAAATAAATTTATTCATCCTTCCCTGTCTTAAGCATATGCATTTGAGTGCATTTGAGCTCAAACAATATATTCTGCTTGTGATTTTCAAGAACCCTTAATGTTCATATTTTCACTACTAATACGAAACTACATTAAAAATATCTACTATATGGATAATATACAGTCATAACCAACATTCATGAATAGTAGTATCAGAAAAAAAAAGAGATTGCTTAAGTTGGTGCCTTTCATCTCCAGTTGGATGATATGCCTCTAAAACTGGCTCAGAAGCATTCATATTTATATATGTACAGCAATATTTCTCCTAGAATTGCTATCCCAAAACAACAGATTAAAAATAAATAAAGCATTTAGTTTGAATTGCACAAAAAAATTTTAAATCCTCACTTGTATATAGTTTTTGTATTAGTGACTGTTTAGAAGAATTCCTGTTTGTTACATGGCAGATTAAAAAACCCTATTTTGGAAAACTAAGTTTTCTGAGTCTGCTCCTTCTTTTCTCTTTCTCCATTTCACATCTTTCTCCTACTCCATTCTGATTTTTATAAAGTAAAACTCTTCAGGCAGACCAAACGTGTATTAAATATCCCAGTGCCAAAAAACTAAAAAGTAGCTTTAAGTAGTTTCATGCACTACGTACAGCCCATAGTCCCAAAAGTAATTTCATTTAGTCACCTTTTCTTACCCTTACAGTTATTTCTTTTCTCTCTTGTGACTGTATGGAAGACTTAGGCAGACAGAGCAGAAAAAGAGTAAGTAACATTGTTGAAAGAAACAGTAAAATACAAACATAGTCCACCGAGCCTATAGCACTTTCAGATGTCTCAAGCCAGAGAATAAAGGTGACTGCAAACCAGAGCACCCCTATGAGGTGCCAGGATTGTCATTTAAAGATCCGTTTGCAGTTTTTAAGTTGGAATTTCATTACTCTTGTAAGTTTATCAGATATTTAGTGCTATTTTTAAGAGACATTAGGTTCTCATGAAAAAAAAATTGAACAGAACTCTGTTTAGGAAAGATCCTGCTGATATATTGCCTATTTAATATTTATGCTACCTTTCTCATAACAATATTTGAAGTTTTAAGTAACAAACATTTATTACATTCTTCTGTTCTTGTTTCTCATTCACCACATAAATCGTGGTCTTCCTCCCTCTGCCTTTATAGCAGCCAGCTGTGGTTTTAGAAACAAATTATTATGACTTCAAGTGACGAATAAACAGCAGAAGCAAAGGAAGTCTTGAGATACTATCCACATAAAAATCCCATTAATAAAATAACATAGGGAAAGCAGCTTTGCATCTAGACAAGACGTATTCCTGTTCTCCAAGATGCATTAATGAACTTCAAAGAAACAGCCTTAATTTGAACACTGTGATATCAGAACAAAACACTTTTTGAGCAAAAGCTGTGTGCCTACATATACAGAATTATTTTAGTAATAAAAATAGATCCATATTAATTTTTTATTGTTCTCTGGAACATAGTGAAGTCAGTGCCATTCTGAAAAGTAATGGAGGTTTTTTGCAAGATTTTATGTCATAGGTAGCTGAACTGTCAACTAAATTTCTAGGGGCACAAACTCATTCTCTCCCCTCTTCACATCAATCCAACGAAAAAACTTAGTGGGAATTCCTCAACTGTCACTGGAGCCTGGATCTGAGGCTATCTGAACTTCACAGACAAAAACAGGAACAAGAATGACCTTCAAGACCTAAATTGTTTTAAACCATTTCTGAGAATGCTTAAGAAAGCCCGTGTTTGTTCCTCAGACCTCATTTTAAATCTGTGCTGCTGCCAGTGATTAAAACCACCTTTTTTTCATAAACTGAATAAATTAAATTCAAAAGCACCCAGGCATTACAAACAGATGAAATCATGCTGGCCAATAATTTCACTTAACAAAGTAGATTTTTTTTTCTCTGATGAATTTGCTTAATCACTAAATACAGAACTTAATTTTTAAGATAACTATTAATTCTCTTATCCTCAGATGCTTAAGAATTATAAGCAATAACTGTTACAAAATCCTTCAGGATTTGTAATCCTTCCTCAGTCCTTATTTTTTCTTTTTTTTTTTTTTTATTTTTTAAGAAACGTTGCATTTCAGACGGTACTGGGGAGTGCGACCCAAGGCAGCGTCTCAGCCTGGGAGCTCTCTCTGTGCAGGGGAGCTGCTCCGCTCCCTCAGCCAGACAGGGCAGCCTCATACATATTCATTTCCCCTCTGATAACAAAGGCTCCCTCGCCCCTCCCGCCCCGATTTTTAAAGATACTATCTTTTATTATGCTATAGGCTTGGGCTTCTTTCCTGAAATCTTTAAAAAGACACCCCTTAATCCTTCTGCCGTCAATTCTCCTTCTCAGATACCCCCGTACAATTTGCAGGGAGCCCTGACCTGCAGCCAAGGGCAGGAGTGAGACTATTACGGCTACTTTTGCTTTGTTTTCCCTCTTTTCTTTTCTCTCT